AAATGTAGCACCTATCTTAATTTCTATAACGTTCAAACCATAAATGAACTTATTTGAAAAATTTATTTCGGTCTTTGCCTTCATTCTTCCGCGTGATTTATGTTGTACTGAAAGCTAGAGAATCGGTAACTGTCAAAGTAAATAGGCCTTTGTAAAGTCTGCATTGTTAACTTGCTGAGGTTCTTCTGGACCACTGATATTTGTGTACCTGTATATATTTATGTATATATTTAAATGTATATGTTTGTGTACCTGAACTGGTAAATACTTGGATTTGGGCCAGGCTTCTAAAGCCGTGTGTCTGACTGAAGAGGCATCTGTTCCGTTGCGCTTGCCTGCAGACATCAGCGACAATGCTGTGCGGGAACACTTCTCTGTCTGCGGAGGCGTGGTAGCAGTGCGCGTTGTGAGGGACAGAAGGACCGGCTTGGGCAAAGGCTTCGGCTACGTGCTCTTCGAGGTACGTAGGGGTGGCGTGCTGCGGGACGCTGGGAGGTCTTCTGAATCTGAATTGGGATTGGCCTTTGTGGCCTTTTAAAATTAGTTTCTTCTCTTTTTTAGTCATTTTTTGGGGATTTGTGTATGAAATTAAATGGTAGCGTTGTTCTGTATGTTACTGGAAGACCGGTTCTGTGGAATTGGATACAAAGATTTTCGGTTGTGTACAAAGAATTTGTAAAATGTTGGGGCGAAAGAAATGAACTTTAAGGGTAAGACTTAGAGGAGGGACAGAGGAGTTCCCTTGGTATAAGGGCAATGTTCTCCCATTTCCTACATGTCAAACTATGAGTTGAATCCTTTCCTGGAGCTGGTTTGCTGACTGGCTCTCCGTTTTGGGTTCGGTATGGCTTGCTCTCTCCTGGCAGTCTCCCAGCCTCACCTTCCTAAATAAACTTCCCTCCTGCAGCCCAGTACCTTTTTTCCCCAGTTCCATCTCTCTGCCTCTGTCTTTTGCGTGTCTCCGCTCTGTGCCTCGATGCATGGGCTGTGTGGGCGTTCCCGAGCAGAGCAGAGGTGGCGTGTCATTCGGTAAGCAGAACAGCGTGAGCACTGTTGTAAAATCTCGCTTAGAAAAATTAGAGAGGCAACTATTTGTTGGGGAGCAATCAGCTGGGCGTCACGCTGCGTTTAAGCCGAGTGTCCCTTCTTGCAGAGTACGGATGCCGTGCATCTCGCTCTGAAGCTCAATGAGAGCGTTCTGACAGGAAGAAAGATACGAGTGAAGCGCTGCGGGGAGAAGTGGAAGGCGCCGCAGAGCAGTCCGGGCCCACGGCGTGCTCCGAAGGCCAGGGCCGATGCCGCGTTAAGAAACCAGAAGGACTCCGCCGATTCCTTCGTCGGCGACAAAGCAAACCCGCTCAAGAAGAGCGCGAAACCAAGAAGACCAAAGACTATTCCTAGAGATAAAGCGGGGAAAAACAGACCGTCTTGTGATTAAAAACGGATGTACGCAAGCGTTCATTATTCTTATAAAGGCTGAGGTGTACCCGAGCGTTCCTGCCCTAAATCCTGGTTACTGGCGCAGCTCTCGACTAGATGACCCACAGAGGTCCCTTTCAACCCCTAACATTCTGTGGGTCTGGGGGTTTTGGCTTCTCCGCGGGGGCCCTACG